TATGGTGCGGTAGGATATATACGTAACGGACATGATACAGAACTTGTAATGGCAGAATAGCACCATTAAAGGAACTTACACTCCCACAACTTGAGTTAATGGCAGCCGTAATCGGAGCACGCTTAGCTAAACACCTTCAATCAACGTTGGAGTGCGAAAACATAACTTTTTGGTCCGATAGCCAGATCGTTTTACACTGGCTTAAGTCAACAAAGACATTAAATCGTTTCATACAAAATCGCGTGAATTAAATAAACGAATTGACAAAATCATGGGAATGGAAGTATTGTCCTACAAGCGATAACCCAGCTGATCTAGTAACACGAGGGATAACAGCCGAGCAATACGCAAGCAGCACATTATGAATTAAAGGTCCGCATTGGTTAATAGACAGTTCAACTTACCCAAAATCAACATCAATCAACACGTCTTTATCAGTTTTGTTAACAGAAAATGACAAAACATGTGTTAGCCAACCGAAGGACGATTCGATTTGTCAACTTGGAATTAACTTTATTATTGATATTGAACGTTATTCGTCGTACTCTATGGTTTGGTGGATGGTGGGAGCGTCTTATTGGAATGACGAAAACGAATTTAAAAAAAAAAAAGATCACTTGTAAATTTAGAGACTCTTCAGACAATCGTTACAGAGATAGAGTCAGTCTTGAATGATCGACTCTTAACATATGTTTCTTCAGACCTGGAGGATCTTGAACCACTTACCCCAGCTCATCTTCTTTATGGACGTCGGATAAATACATTACCGTACGTACATGGATATTCGTGAAATTGACATGTTTAATGAGACATTTATGAACAACACAAATTTTATCAAACGTGTTCAAAGACAATCATTACTTTTGCAACAATTCTGGAACCGATGGAAAACCGAATATTTGACGTCATTGCGTGAATTTCACAAGAAAACGGGAAACAATTCTACGATAATCAGAATAGACGATATTGTTCACTAAAGAAAATGATGGACTAGTTTGTTCCGCTATAATTGGAACAAAAACTAGAATTACATCACGCCCGATCGTCAAGTTGTATTCACTTGAACTTTGAATGGACATCGAAACATCAAAAGACGGAGAATATCAACACAAGGAGGAAACAAGTGCGACAACAAGGCGGATATTGCAAAACCGAGAAGCAGCCAGAAGAACCAGGGGAAATATTAAAAAATGGACTGAATAATGCGTAACTATTGAACTGTTTTATTATTGACTTTTACGAAAAAGCTTGATTATAATTGACTAATTGCAAAAACCGATGACATTGTATATGTTAATATTGCATTGACTATGTGAACAGGTGCGCGGCAAATATAGACTCACTGTTATCTGTGTACGAAATATACTTTTTGTGATTTAATTCAAAGATTACTATTCTGGAAGTTAGTGACTGTGCTAAAATTATTAAGTTTAAATTTTGAATTTGAGAGACAGTAATTTTCATTCATTTTATTTTATTGTAATTTAATTTTAATATTTACTTTTCGCGGCTCGGAGAATGTTGAGAATACCGCGGGAGTTACGACGTCGCGTTTTACCGATTGTATCTAGGGCTGACGTCAGTGCGGGACGTAGCCTTAGCATTTCAGAATATATATGAAGTGAACGTTAAACAGTATGGTGATGTTCTTTCTATATTACGATAAATGATTTAGCCCCTACAAGTATGTTATTAATCAAATATGAGAATTTGAGTCAATTCGGTGAACATGATTTTGACAGCTAGTGTCCCTTCAAACGAAAAATGAAGAAATTATTGACCATAAAATTCAAAAAATCATATTTGATCATATTAAGACAAAATAATATTTGTAGTGTTTGAATAAACATTTTAATATATTAAAAACATAGCTGATTGTAGTAAGGCATTACTCATAATAATCAATATGTTATCAACATAAAAGACCATGATACAAACCAAATGTGTGTAGACTGACAGGCCTACCAGACTGTGCCTGATGTGCAGAGTCTGATGAGATTTTTGCATTGATGAAATCTAGAACCTAAGTCCTGTGACTAGACATGATTAGATTCAGTTGCGCTCGACTCATATTTTTGAAAAGGATATCAAGAGATATAAATCAAATTCTGTTCTATTGTTTTAATTCATTTTGTTCATTGAATCAGCCTAAAATGCAAAAAAGGTTAACACAAAGTTTTTTTTTTGTTTTTTTTTTTTTTTTTGACAAGTTACAATTCCATGTATAAAGTAAACTAACAAAAACACCGAACTCCGAGGAAAATTCTAAACGGAAAGTCCCTAAGCAATTGGCAAAATCAAAAGCTCAAACACATCAAACGAATGGAAAACAACTGTCATATTCCAGACTTGGAACAGGCATTTTCTTATGTAGAAAATGGTGGATTAAACCTGGTTTTATAGCTAGCTAAACCTCTCACTTGTACATGTTGTATGACAGTCGCATAAAAATCCGTTATATTGACAACAATGTGTGAACAAAACAAAGACATAATAGGTATAAATGTCAAAAATAGGGGTAGAGCAGTCAACATTGTGTTACAATCTTAATCACTTCAAAAAATGTTGTACTATTGAACAAGTTGAAAAAAAATTATTGTAGAGGCCTGTACATAGTTTCGAACTATTTGATAACAACTTCCATATTCCTGACTTGGTGCAGGACATTGTAAGAAAACATGGTGGGTTAAACCTGGTTCTAAGGCTAGCCAAACCTCCCGCTCATATGGCAATGTTAATAAATATCGCTTAAATGACAACACTACGTGACAGAAATACAGCACAAACACACACAAGAACACTCATCACACAGAGACGCACAAATAAATAATACAATAGTCGATACAACATGTAAACCGCAGAATAACAACGAACATCTTCCATTAACGACAGACAGCACAGGACATCACAAACAGTGACGTATTTTTGTAACGAATATATAATCTTGGAATTCATACAATTTTTTTACAATACTAGTCCAAACAATTATCAAGATAAAGACGGTCTTGAAAAGCTATTTTATAATTATTGAGTCTACAAACGATACGACATACGCACTATCCAACCGATACCACAACAGAAACACATGAAACATCATAAATAAAAACATGAAAAATATTAAATATGATAAGTTACGATTCCCACTTTTCAATATTAAAAGTGTGTGACAGTTGCGTACAGTTAAAAGTATTTAAAAAAAACAACAATCAGAATAAATGAGCGCGTGCATCCATCGTAGGACTTTTAAAGATGAAATGTTTCATTTTAACGTCACTAGGTGGCATCATCAAGGGAGTCTGTGATGTTTTGTCATTGTTCTCTTCTCATTTTTTTTGTTTGAAACTTTAAAAAATCTTTTTCTATTTTTTCCTATGGAAGTCGTTGTCATTCAGACAATTATAGAAAAGGCATTAGTTGAAATTTACTTTGACAACACACTTCTAACTGTTCACCTAACGTTATGTGTATGGTTTCAGGTTGCCAAACCTGCTGTCTATGTATTCTGACGCATTCAAAAAGTTCACCTTCTGTTTAGTCTATGTAGCTTTGTACAGGTGATGCAATTAATTAAATTTTATTAAAATTTGCACTTAAGTAGAAGTTTTTGGGAAGTGGTTGCAAAAGTTGCTTCGTCTTCTTACCCGACTTCAGTATATTTCTGTATCGATGCTCTAAAATTATTAAAGTTGAGCGTCTGCTTCTTATTGTGCCATTAGAAATAATTAGTCCAATAGCTGGATTCTGGATATTCGAATGTGATGGTTGGCGACCAGCAGATTCAAGTTGTTGTAGACTGTTGATGACAGAAGAAAGTAAATACTGTGTTAAACATGTATTGTCTGCTTCAATTACATCTGAACTAAAAATTGCAATAAAACCAGAACCAGGTGAATATTTTACGAGGAGCTGCATGTGTTAAATACGTAAGCATTGTGTTGCCATTTAACATATTCAAAGTTTGCAAGCAATAAATGACCCATATCTCTGCTATAAGTTTAAACGAATGAAATTCACTGTTGAATAGTTGCATTGGTAAAGAGTGTTTTTTTTTATATTATATAAATATTGTCTTCTATCCAGATTAGAAATGACATTACATTTAACAAAGTAGCATATGTCATAGAGAAAATTGTTTGACTATAATAACTAGGCAGTATTACCTTGGGATTGATGCCGAACTGGTCTCTCACGGGAAAATCAATCTTACAGTAGTCATCTTTTACATGGTTTGCCAGAAACTTTACATCAAAATCGTTTTGTATGACACCCGCTATTTCTCCGACAATGATTTGTTTCAAACATCCGAGATTAATTTCAGCATCTGTTGCAGCAATCCTCATTTGAATAGGTTCCATAATACATATTGTCTCACGTTTTACCCGCCTATTTTTTTGGAAGATCAGTATCTGATTTATCAGGATTAACTCTTATAAAATGTGGAATTGTAAAACTCCTATTAATTTTTAAAAAAAATACCTTACGCTTTGATAGCTGACTCTTAAGTTTGCATCAAACATAGTGCATAAAACCATTCTGTTGCAAACTGGTATCTGCCCTGTCTCTCATTCATTGTATTCATATATTTTAGTTCATTTTGTTATCAACTATGATGTATTTTAACTGCCATCTTTTAACTGTCTATCCAATGTCATAGTATGCTCATTTTTATCATCTGTAAACGATTATGTTGGCTTATTGATTTTTCTCTCCTCAAATACGGTACACAAAACAAAAAGGAGAGACGGCTTCAATTTGATGACTGGAAGAAAAACCTCAATGTTTTGACTTGCAAGACATATATTTAGACAAACATATGACAATCTATCACCTGTACAGTTTGGGACAAAAAACTTTTAAATTATATAAAGGAGGGAATTAATGTGACATTTTTATTCAGTACGATGCATGCCATGCACGACTATAAACTGACAGGAATTGAGTTCTATTTATATCACACATAAGTTAAACCTCCATACACATTAATCGTTATTATTAACAAGGAAGTAATTTACACGATCGGATGCACGACAAAGAAGGTAGGAAAACATTGATTGCAAATGTCCTTTTCTTTCTAGTCAAGAAATAATTTCATGTCATTTACTCTAGAACGTATCACAAGTACTGAAGGTACTAAATAATGTTTGGCATTGGATAAGTTTGTAATCAAATAAGATTTAAGAAGGTGGTCATTAAACATGTCTTGGACTTTGCTCAGTGATTCGAAAATCAATATATATAACGCAGGGATATTTCTGTATTTGCATGGTTTTCATTTCGAGAATAGTGGATACATATATCAGATGCATGGACGAATTTCGCAATAAATTGTCGTATCTAGATATAAAGCAAGCACAAGATGTTTTTAGTGTTTAATGCATAAATTTGTATAACAAAAATCGCCAAAAAATACAACATACCACATCAACCGCTAACGTCCGACTCCTCGGAATACATTGACATACAAACAAAGACAAACAACAGTAAATAACGCATGACATATAGATAGTCTAACTTGGTACGGACATTAGATTTGATGAAGTGTAATGTATTTTGTGGGTAGAAACCTCTCCCTTTACCATTTTAGACCATATTCGTAAACTCCAAAACGCGCATTTAACAACGTGTATAGTGCACCAATCAAGAGGTAGACTACTACTTTTAAAACAAATGAAACAGCATATGATTTGAAAAACAAGGTCAAAATGTTCCCCTTGATAACAGGAGCTAGCCATGGTATTGTACATACGTCTTTTAGTTGGATACTGCCTCTATAAAAATAATTTCTCTGCGCCTTTGTCTTTTTGTGCACAATTCTTAGTAATCTCCGTTCGCTACTCATAAAAGTTTACCCATAGTTGAATATTCCTTTTCACTAATGATAGATTATGTCTTTAATTCGGGGATTAGGGTGGCGGCAGTTAACATATATAAGTGTTTAGTACACTATTATTGTTGTTTATTTTTACGTTTTGTATTTATGTTATTACATGCTTTAGCCAGATTTTGCACAATTATATGAAATGCGCTTCTACGTCGTAATAATTTTGATCTCTTATTCGAGCACCGTTCATAAAATCTTATTTGAACTAAATACATGCCTTCGCATATCAAATTGATAAGCCTGATATATTTGATGAATTTTGTGCATGGTGTTTCAGGTCAACTTACTGTCTCAGAGAGGAAGATGTTAAACTGCTTAAACTATACGAAGCTGAGACAGATTGTTGTAATTAGAAAAAATGTTACCCCTTTTAGGTGGGACATTTATTGGCCAATTAAGTAGACCTTTACAGTGTTAAGTGTATAATTATCTAAGAAATGTTTACTCTTTTAAATATTCCACAAGCCACTTACATATACTTAAAGAGTGATAATAATGCATATTAAAAGGCTCCTCTAATGGAATGATGTAGAGGACTGGTCATTTTCTTTCGATGGGGGGATGGGAGGAAACTTTGGAATTTCAATTATTTTTTCAAGTCCCCGCCTTGAGGAATGCAATAAATATCAAAGACATGAAAATTTTAACCACTCTTAATATTTCTCAATACTTTTATTCTTTATGACAAAAGTACATGCGTACAATTTCCATGTATATTAGTATGGTTCAATAAATACTGCCAAAAAGTCGGCTATCCAACTGAGTTAAAATGAAGTGGTAGTACGCAATTGTAGGCCACCATACAGCCTTCAACATTGTTGAAATGAAGTGGTAGTAAGCAATTATAGGCTTCCGTACGGCCTTCAACAATGAAAAATTCGTACTGTGTAATCGGCTATAACAGGGCTGACATACTAGTATAATATGTTATCCAATTCAAACGAGAAAACGAACTGTCTAATATATAACAAAACAATTTACGAAAAACAAATACACGTATGACACATATACGACAGACTTGAACCAACAACAACCAATGTACTACAGGTTCCTGACTTGGGACAGGCACATAAATAATGCAGCCGGGTTAAGCATGTTTGTGAGTGCTCAACCCTCCTATAACCTGGGACAACTGTTAGTGATCAACCTATTCTAAAAGGTTATCAATCCAACACTCTTTGAATATTGTTTTTATTGGTATAATTATTGATTTATTATTTGTAAAATTGAAATTAAACTAAATATCACTTGTATATGCATATGTACATGCATGGCTCTACAGTCATTCCATACCTGTATCTTGGCATTGCTCAAGGTCATGTTTTCTCCGACTGTTAATGACGTCTTTACACTATATCCATTGGATGCTGGATGTGTACTGCTTGATATTTTAGTCTTAGATAAATGATTTTTTTATTAGTTTTTATTGGCTATTAACTAGCTGTCAGTAACTGCGAGTTCTCTCAGATCTATACTTAGTGTCCTATCTGTTGTGGTAATGTATAAATACCCTGCCACGTCCAGTCTGTGTTTTTGTTTGATGTGTTTCTGCTTTTAATTAATCTGATGAGCTAAGCCCTTTTCAACTGATTTTTATAGTTTGTTCTTATATTGTACGGTTACACCACTGTCCCAGTCCCATGTTGGGGGTAGGTATTGACACTAGCATGACCAGCAAACTATTTTAACCCAACCAAATTCTGTATGTGCTTAGCTGTCAAAAGTCAGGAGTCTATAATACAGTGGTTGTTGTTCGTTAATTGCTGTATATCATATTTGTATTTTGTACATAGTTTTATCAGGCCGTTAGTTTTTTGGTTTGGAATTGTTTTACATTTATCATTTTTGAGCCTTTTATAGGTTACTATGTGGTATGGGTTTTGTTCATTGATTTAGGCAATACGATGGCCTATAATTGCTAACTTCTATGTCATTTGGTATCTTGTGGAGAGTTTTCTCATTGACAATCATACCACATCTTCTTTTTTTTATATGTACAAAATCAGTTGCAATTTCCTACTAAAAACATCAGTAAGAGGCATAAAAACAATAGACACAATTCATCCGAAAAAAGAGTACTCGCAATTACTGTCGGAATTCCAATGGGAACCAATTGTGCTCCTCTTCTTGGCGACTTGTTTCTTTGTTATTTTGAGGCTGACTTCATATCGGAACTTCTTAGGAAGAAAGATAAGAAGTTAGCAATATCCTTTAACTTTACGTTCCGCTATATAAATGATGTTCTCTCACTAAATAATACAAAATTTGGTGACTATGTTGAACGAATCTATCTCATCGAACTAGAGATAAAGGATACTACAGATACAGTTAAGTCTGCCTCATATCTTGACTTGCATCTAGAAATTGACAATGAGGGTCGGTTGAAAACAAAACTTTACGACAAAAGAGATGATTTCAGCTTCCCAATTGTGAACTTTCCATTTCTATGTAGCAACATTCCAGCAGCGCCTGCATACGGAGTATATATCTCCTAATTGATACGATATTCCCGGGCTTGTATTTCCTATCATGATTTCCTTGACAGAGGATTGCTGCCCACAAGGAAGCTATTAAACCAAGAGTTCCAAATGGTGAAGTTGAAATCATCCCTTCTTTAATTTTACGGACGCCATCACGAGTTGTTTGACCGTCATGGAATAACCGTTTCAAAGATGATATCGGATATGTTCCTTATGTCGTAACTACAATACCCTTCCCTTTTCACGAATGTGACCTACCGAATTAGACTATTTACCGGATTTGTAATAGCATAAGCAACACCACGGGTGCCACATGTGGAGCAGGATCTGCTTACCCTTCCGGGGCACCTGATATCACCCCCAGTTTTTGGTGGGGTTCGTGTTGCTAAGTCTTTAGTTTTCTATGTTGTGTCATCTGTACTATTATTTGTCTGTTTGTCTTTTTATTTTTGGCCATGGCGTTGTCAGTTTTTTTCGATCTGTGAGTTTGACTGTCCCTCTGGTATCTTTTGTCTCTCTTTTACTGAAAGCTAGTTCAAGGTCAATTTCAACTAATATATAAATCATGTTTTCCCAGACTTAATTATTAACCAGTACACGTCCAACAGATTAAATGTAAAGACGTAATAAACAGTAATAAAAAAACGCGTGACCTTGTTCAATGCCAACATATAAGTAAACATTATCTACAGAACGTAGAATCATAAGTTATCATAACTGTACATACACTGTATATATAGAATAATCATACATTGTCTCGAAATAAAAATCTTACTTGTACAAGGCTTAAAAACAGGTAGAAAGCGAGGCTCTGCCGCGCATTTCTATACTGTTTTGAGCTCAGTACAAATAAAATTTATATTTTGAGACAATGTATGGTTATTCTGTATATACTGCAACTCCTACCACTGTTCCAAATAAAATATTTAGGGTAAAAAGCATCATTTTTTAATTTGGAGCAAACGCCATAAAAATTCCGCGAACCTGTACGTTTAATGACGTCATGAATAAAATTTTACGGAAACGCATTGTCAGCGTCATAAAGAAGGTGATAAACGGTCAGTGACTGTATATCACAAATGATTATACTGTCAATACAATTTGACTGCGCAAATAGCACAGCTGCAGTATATATAGCAATAAATAGTCCGTTTTAAGTTTTCAAAAACAAAAACAATAATAGTAGTCCTATAAAACAATATTTAAATTTAACTACTTTTTAAACTAAAAACTTTTAAGAATAAGTTTATTCAAAGGATCAATTGGTTTACATAGAATGTGTCTAAATTGATGGGCTTTATAATCAACATCACCGTAAAAATTGCGATGGAATATTCCGTTTGTAATAAAATTTCTACAGGTACAGCAAATATTCCTAACCAAATATTTTTATCTATAAAAGAATTTGGTTAAGGTTTTAATTAATTTGTGGTAACGAAATCCCTGCCTTTTAATTTACCATTTATACATAAATGATGCTCATTGAAACCTAACTACAGACACTTCCATTCAATTTCAGTACATTATTGAACGTTTATAAATATATACATCCTTTATAAAAGAAGTTGGTAAACTAACTTTAGTTAAAAATACATCCTTGAGAGAAGATTTCAAGGTGAATCTTAAAAATTGAGCCGAGCAAAGCGAGTCAAAAACTGTAAATGTTGTAAGGGGAAGAGGTTGGTGTGGGTCTCCAAAACCTTTCATTGCCCCCTCCCCCCATCTGAAGTATGCAAAAATTTAACACCCCCTTTCCATTCTCAAAAGTTTTCCAGGCCCCCACTCTTTTAGGTTATAAATGATCAGTCCCTTAAGTGGTCGGACTTTAATGACAAATTTTACCAACTTTAAGCTTTTCGCCTATTATATTGATAACGATTAATTTAAAAATGATTAGAATGACAAAATCTACTGATAAAATCAACAAAGCCTGTATCATCAGTAGAACCCTTATAAGAGTTATTGCCCTTAAATGATCATTTTATTATATATTTTGCATATTAAATTAAAAACTATAATAGATACATAGAAAACTTAATATAGTGAAATTGATTACCAAGACTAGATCTGTTAATAAATAAACATGATCAAATCGTCAGTCAAGTGATGATACCATTATTTCCCCTTAAATGAGAATTTGTACCCATTTTTGCGTTTTGAGCAAAAACTAAAGTAGATATAATAGCTGGATTTTAATATCGTTCCTTGATACTAATACTATTAATAATAATAATAATAATAATGAAAATAATAATAATAATAATAATAATAATAATAATAATAATAATAATAATAATAATAATAATAATAATAATAATAATAATAATAATAATAATAATAATAATGCACAAAAAATTAATTATTTTAGATGGCACAGGTGTTGGCAGTACCAGGAGATGTTAGACATGGATTTTCTTATTATGGCCAATTCAACCACGACTTCGGCCGAATAACTGGGATAGCAGTTACAATTAAGGGGAACATTATATTATGTGACTATGATAAAAAGAATCTGATATTAGTTGATCCTCTTGGAAATTATTTAAAGAAGCTTAACTTAGACAGTGAACCATATGATGTGGATATAACAAGTCAAAATATAGGCTATGTAACGCAACCTAACTCCAGATCGGTCTTACAGATAGACCCTGACAGTATGATCGTACTATTCCAAGCAACATGCAACGAAGTAGGCACTACCGTGTTTTGTGTTTCAGCAGTCCCAAATACTGGAAGGTGTTTTACAGAAAAAGTTTCATGTTATCTTGGCGTTAAAATACATGCATTTTTGTATGCATTTCCTGTAAATTTTGATCAAATGTAAGTTTTTATCTACAATAATTAGCCTACATGTAGACCTTATTCTTCGCAATAATAAATGAATCCACAGTAATATGATATATAAGGAATGCACGAAAAACACTTACAAACACATAAAAGACATCGGTGTTGATTCAACAGTTCCTGAATAGAAAAGAGATTGGAAATGGGGAATGTGTCAAAGAGCGACAACCCGACCAGAGACCTGGATTCGTTCAGATCTGTACTTTGTGTCTTGTGTCTTTTTGTTGGTTGTTTATTTGATTTGTATCGATCTGATGAGTTAAGCCCTTCTCAACTAATTTTTATAGTTTGGTCTTGTGTTGTTCTTTTCCATCACTGTCCAAGGTAAGAAAAGGGTTGGCGAGTCCTCAAACATGTTTAACCTCGTAATATTCTGTACAAGCCTGTCCAAAGTCAGGATCCTGTTATTCAGTGGTTGTCGTTTTGTTGCTGTTTATTATATTGTCACTAGCTACGATTACGTTGAAATGTAACAATAACACAACAGTTATTGTTACGTTGGATATTTATTGCTAGAGTGCTATGTTTGGTTCGGAACCGATTAAATATGAACGTAATTTTGATAGTTTGGTCTTATGTTGTTCTTTTCCATCACTGTCCAAGGTTAGTAAAAGGTTGGCGAGTCCTCAAACATGTTTAACCTCGTAATATTCTGTACAAGCGTGTCCAAAGTCAGGATCCTGTTATTCAGTGGTTGTCGTTTTGTTGCTGTTTATTATATTGGCACTAGCTACGATTACGTTAAAATGTAACAATAACACAACAGTGTCGGAACAGTGTCGGAACCGATTAAATATGAACGTAACAACAATAGTTTTGTCTACGGTTCCGTTGCGTTATTGTTACATTAGATTTATTAAACTTTTAACCGACTTTAGTTTTGTTGAATTCTCCGATATGCTTGATAATAATAGTAATAATAATTAATGTCTTTCCACCCGAAGAGATATATACAAAAATATTAAAATTCGGTTTAAAATGTTATTTTCAGCGTCAAATGATAGCTTATTGTACGCTGGTTTAAAAAAATAGACGGTTTCTAGACCTTTTTTTTTAAATAAGGAAGATAATTTGTTACTTCCGGTTTGAAAAATGTCACTTCCGGTATTATTTGATAGTTTACCTGACACTGATTCCAAAAATATATGGTTCTATATACTTGTACATTACACAAGTACAAAAAAATAGCTACTTCCGGTTTACACAAGGTCACTTCTGGTTGGTTTTTACAAGGTCATATGGCTTGCAACCTAATGCATACAGTTCCATGGCTTTATCATGTATACATATGAAGTAAAAGCAAAGGTCAAAATTTAGAACGTCAAATTTACCAATGACCTTGAGCTCAATTTGAAGGTCATAAATCAAGGACCTAAAATCAAAAGACACCAGGTCTTTATTATATATGGTGAATGAGTTATATCACCATTCTCGTCATTTTAAATTTAAGAGGGAGAAAACTCCAATTTAATGTTAGCATACCTCTTCAACCAAAATGTATGTGTGACGACATGTCGCAACTAACAATTTAGTAAAAATATGTTGTCGATATCTTATACGGTTTTTGAAAAGAATTGAAAATAAGCCAAGATCAAAATTTAAAATATGACCTTGACCTCTGACCTTGACCTAATTTTCTTATTTTTGGATCAAGGACCTCAAATCAAAAGATTCTAGGTCTCTATCACTTATGGTTTACAAGATAGAAATGCATATCACTTATATCAAATGCATAAGGGGAAATAACTCTCATATGGAATATTCATATCGCTTCGGTCAAAATAGGACAAATCATGCAAAGGATATAACGAGCAATTTATAAAATAAATTTGTCACTTTCTTTTACGGTTACGGAGGAGGTGCAGTCACAAGGAAAACAGTGTTCGGGGAGATAACTCCTACAAAGAAAATTGTTCGGCTTAGAATGGGTGAAAATAAAAAGCGCATAAACTGTATGGTACATTATAAGAAATATCTAAGCGACATCTTGTCAAACAAAAATTTTACGCGAGAACAAAATTTGGCGGAAGAAAATAATAATAATAATAATCAGAACAAATACAATAGGTCTTTCCACAGAAAAGTGGAAAGACCTAATAATAGTCAGAACAAATACAATAGGTCTTTCCACAGAAAAGTGGAAAGACCTAATAATAACCAGAACAAATACAATAGGTCTTTCCACAGAAAAGTGGAAAGACCTAATAATAAGAACAAAACCAAAAGGTCTTTCCACGGAAAAGTGGAAAGACCTTATAATAATAATAATAGTAAAACTGATAATGATAATAATAATAATAAATATCATAATAATAATAACAAGTAAAAACCAATTGTTCAGAGGTCTTTCCACCCAATACGACATTTTTTTATATGAAAATATTAAAATCCGGTTTAACCTTTCATTTCAAGCGTCAAATGAAAGCTAGTTGTATACTGATTCCAAAAACATATGGTTTCTTTACATTATTTTTAAAATAAGGGAGATAATTTATTACTTCCAGTTTGAAAATATCACTTCCGGTATTATTTGATAATTTACTTGACATTGATTCTTAAAATATATGGTTTTATAAACTTTTCCATTAAATAAGTACAAAAAATAGCTACTTCCGATTTACGCAAGGTCATTTCCGGTTGGATTTTTCAAGGTCATATGGCTTGCAACCTAATGCAAAAAGTCCAATGGCTTTATTATCTATACATGTGAAGTTAGAGCAAAGGTGAAAATCTAGAACATCAAAATTACCTCAATTTCAAGGTCATAAACCAAGGACCTCAAGTCAAAAGACCCTAGGTCTTTTTTAAATATGGTTAATGATTTATATAACCATACGCGTAATTTCAAATATAAGAGGTGAGAAAACTGCCATTTAATGTCAACGTACCCTTTCAACCAAAATTTATGTGTTACAAGTCGCATTTAACAATTAAGCAAAAATACGTTGTCGATATCTTATACGGTTTTTTAAAAAAAGGTGATAATAAGTCAAAATCAACAATTTAGGACGTGCCCTTGACCTTTGACATTGACCTAATTTTCATTTTTTGGGACCAAGGACCTCAAATCAAAAGACCCTAGGTCTCTATCACTTATGGTTTACCAGTTACAATGTTAATCACTTATATCAAATGCATAAGGGAAAATAACTATCATACGGAGTCTCCGGATAGCTTCGGTCCAATGATCATCCTAATCCTGAAGATATAACGAGCAATTTGGTAAAATAAATTTTTCGTAATCTTTTACGGTTGTAAAAGAGTAGTGGACAGTGTTTGGGGAGATAACTCTTACAAGAAAAAGTGTTCGGTTCAACAGGATCAGTTTCAAAAGCGTATAAACTGTTTGATATCATATACCAAATATCTAAGTGGCATCTTGTGAAACAACAATACTGTGCAAGAAAAAAATGAGGTGGATGGAGAAAAAATTAAAAACCAATTGTTCAGAAAACAATTGAAGTTCTTTCGACCCCGAACGATATTTTTTTATATGAAAATATATAAATTGAGTTTAAAATGTTATTTCTAGTGACAAATGATATCTTATTGTACGCTGATTCCAAAAAATATATGATTTCTATACATTTTTGCTTAAAATAAGGGAGGTAATTTGGTACTTCCGGTTTGAAAATGTCACTTCCGGTATTATTTGATGGTTTACTTGACACTGCTTCCAAAAATATATGTTTCTATATATTTTAACATTAATTAAGTACAAAAAGTAGCTTCTTCCGTGTCACACAAGTTCACTTCCGGTTGGTTTTTTCGAGAATATATGGCTTGCAACCTAATGCACAAAGTCCTAAGGCTTTATGATGTATTAATATGTATTTAAGCAAAGGTCAAAATCTAGAACATCATTAGACTGTGATCTTGTTTTCAATTTCAAGGTCAAAAACTAAGGACCTCAAATAAAAAGACGAAAGGTCTTTATTATATATGGTTAATGAGTAATATCACCATATGCATAATTCTAAATATGAGAGGGGCGAAAACTCCCTTTTAATGTCCACATAACCTTTTAATCAAAATTTATGAATTACAAATGTCGCAGATAACAATTTCATAAAAATATTTTGTTGATATCTTATACGATTTTTGAAAAGAAGTGACAATAAGCCAAAATCAAAATTTAAAACATAACCTTGAACTTGACCTTATTTTCTCTTTTTTTGGGCCATGGACCTCAAATCAAAAGACCCTAGGTCTCTATCACTTATGGTTTAACAGTTACAAATACAAATCACTTATATCAAATTTATAAGTGGAAATAACTTTCTGTGGAGTCTCCGGATAGATTCGGTCCAAATGATCATACTAATCCAGAAGATATAACGAGCAAATTGGTAAAATAAATTTGTCATAATCTTTTACTGTTGCAAAGGAGTAGTGGACACAAAAAAAACAGTGTTTGGGAAGATAACTCTTACAAAGAAAAGTGTTCAGTTAAGCGGTGTCAGTTTCAGAAGCGTATTAACTGTTCGATATCATATATCAAATATCTAAGCAACATCTTTTGAAATATCGTCCTGAATATGCATGAAATATTTGCCACTGGACGTTAAGCAACCAACAATCAATCAATCTTTTGAAATAACAATACTGAGCAAGAAAAAAATCAAGCGGAAAGAAAAAATATAATCAAAAAAACAATTGTTCAGAGAACAATTGAAGGTCTTTCCACTTCTTACGATTCATTTTGATATGAAATTATTAAAATACGGTTTAAAGTGTCATATACAGTGTCAAATGATATCTTAGTGTACGCTGATTCCAAAAATATATGGTTTCTAAACAATTTTATTGAAATAAGGGAGATTATTTGTTACTTCCGGTCTGAAAAATGTCACTTCCGGTATCATTTGATAGTTTACTTAACACTGACTCCAAACATATATGGTTCCATATACTTTAACATCAAATAAGTTCAAAACAAAGCTACTTCCGGTTTACACAAAGTCATTTCCGGTTGG